GTTTAAATGTGAACTCGTATGTAACCATGCTGATCGACGACTGAATAAATGATGACCCTACGGTGTCATATGTAGTGAGGTAACATTCTGTCACCCCTTGGCCGTATCGGCTGGGACTGTAGCTAGCAGTCGGGGTGTGGGAGTGTCTGTCCCGTATAGATCTATACACATAATGCCCGCTCTCCCTCCAGGAGACTCTGGTTACAAGGTGATACCACAATGCAGTGTCGTATCGAGAAGTAGTATGTCACATTCTAATTATCGTATCCAAATGTTTGTATAGTATGTCATAGTGTAGTAATGTTTTCTCTGTACTAGGGTATAGTATGTTTTATTGTATAATGTGTAGTATGTAATGTTTCTCATTATAGTACTTTTGTAAGGACTCATAAATGTACTGACTCTTGTATGTGTCGTTGTAATAGTAACAGTGAGTAGTAATCACTTAACTATACCTATTATAGTTAACTAGTAATGTTGTTTGTATGCCTTTGCTACCCAAAGGTACTGAACTGAAGTGAAAGCATTTATATCTACACACATATATACGATATATAACTAAAGTTTCAACGACATTCAGACAAATAACAGGATACCCTAAGTCCACAACCAAACAAGGAACAGGAAATAAGGTGAGTTATCAGTCCTAAGTCCTTCAAACTTTACTTATATAAATATATCTGTATAGGTATGAGTTGACAATAATGTAAGTTTAAAAGAGCTTGATAAAGGATTTAGCATTTAAAAGAGTTTAATAAAGTGTTTTGAAGTGTTTGAAATCCATAAGTTTGATAATCAATTGAAAGCAATAGAAAATCTTTCAGTTTGTTCTAGTTATTAATCACATGTGATTAATATAATAACTAGAATGTTTCAACTTGTATTCCCCCCCCCCCCCTATAAAAGCATTTAAAATCATTTAAAAGGTTGATTAAGGGGTATGAACTCACCTGTAGTGAGTGGTTTGGATGAACGGATGGTATAGGATGCTAAGTGTCAAGTGAAGACTTGAGCACACACACGGATCCTATTCAACATATAAGGACACATATATGCATGTAATTAGTTATATACTCACTAATTAAGCAAGTAAAGACACCCTAGGACATGGAAAACACCTTGATTCAAGTGTTAGAAGTGCATAGGGTTGCATCTAAGAGTTGTAGGGCCTCACATTGGAGTTTACGGCCCAAATGGTAAGGCCCATGAGTTTACGGACCATGGGTTTACGGCCCAATGGGTTTACGGCCGTAAACTCATGTCATCTTGATTTATTTTGTTTGTTTAAGGTCCTACAAGTTTCCTGGAAGTGTTCTAGACTAAAGACCAAGCCTTGGGAAGAAGTTAGGGTCCATATGTACCCATTACTTGGGTTTACGGCCAAAGGAGATTGCCTTGGCCGTAAACACCCTCCTGGACATGATTTCTTGATGTTTAACAAGGGATTCTAATACATAACAAGCTAAGGGTAGTGTACTTACGTAGTAGAAGCTTGAGGGAGTGGTTAGAGCCCAAAAACACTAGTGTGTGTTCTTGGTGAAATGAAGAACACTTGAAGATCTACCCAAAAGAAGAGATTTCATGGATGAAATCAAGAGTGAATCAAGAAGAAGAGATGTATTAACTCATGTATGGAAGGATTCACTTACATTTTTGAGGATTTGGAGCAAAACCTCAAGATCCTTGGGAGAGAATTTCGAGTTCTAGGCTTGGGAAAGTGAAAAGTGGCTGAAAAATGACTAAGGGTCGTATATATAGCTGGAGTTTACGGCCTACATGTGTTTACGGCCGTAAACCCATGACCCTTGGTCGTAAACTCCTCTTTTGAGGATTTATGGCTTGGTTGATGGGTTACAACTTCAATTGGCACTTTCGTTCACTTATTCCCTTGATGTACTAAACTCAGAATGCTCAAATAGACTCTACATAGCGCTAAAAGTTAGTAGGAACAAGCCTAACTTTGAATGGATTGAATGGTTTGCACGAGATTGAAATTTCGGGTTGTCACATGACAAACTTCCTTAATTACCATTCATACTCTTAACCCTTTTCAAGGGTCAACTCAGGTCAAGGGTCAAGTCTAAGGTCAACATCATGGTCAAAGTCAACTTCTGGTTGACTCAACTCGCCGAGTTGGTCTACCACGAGTTACAAAACTCATAGATCTCCATTTCGCGATCTGACTCGTCGAGTTGCCCTCCAACTCGCCGAGTTTCTCCTTATGACAGAATCGAGACTTTCCATTTGAACTCGTCGAGTCCTCCCTTGGACTCGTCGAGTTCATCTTCATATCAATCAGAACATTGCCTTGAACTCTCCCTGTTCATCCTTGAACTCATCGAGTCCTTTGTGTTGGATTAGTGTCTAAGTCCATAACTATAATTGGTACATACTTGACCCGACCCAACATGGTCCATTTGGGTTGCATGGCATCGGGACATTTGGATAGACCTTTTGTGAGAAGAGGATATTTGTGACATATTAATATATTATAAGTTCTAATATATTAATATGAAATCATATTATTTAATTAGTATTGATCAAGAATTAATTTGGAATTAATTTAGTGATCAAAAGAGACTAATTAAATATATGGGGATTGATTGTGTAAATCATTCATTCTTATATATGTGGGCTTATGATCCATGATTCCTTATGTTGGGTTTAACCCATGTGGTGACCCATGGATACTCCATGGAGGTTAAAACCCATGGAGCATAAGGAATGGGTAAAGTCATGGGTTACATGGTGTAACCCTAATATGCACACTATATAAAGACCCCATTGGTTGGTGAAATTGGCACTAGTGCATACACAAGAGGGCAAGCCAACTTCTAGAGTGAAGTATCTCTTCTCATGGTTATTCCAAGTTGTTTTGATGTTGTGTGAACCATTTGAGGTGTCACACTTGGGGCACTAGGCTCTTAAGCTCCATGGAATCAAGCTACAACAAAGAGGTATGTAATTCTACTAGATTTTATATTACATGTACTTAATATTATGCTAGTTATAACAATACCTTGAAAAATTGATATTTGCATGTATAATAGAGAAAACATAGATCCAAGGTATTTAGGGTTGCATGTACACCATAGCAGTGTTAGAATGCTCAAAACCCAACAGTGGTATCAGAGCCTAGGCTTGTTTTCAAGTTATACATGCTGAAATAGCTTAAAATCGAAAATTCTGGCTTCCTGGGCACTGGACTCGCCAAGTCCATGAAGAAATTCATCCTACTCGTCGAGTAAGTTCATACACTCGACGAGTAGAAGCCCCTGACAACATATTTTCGACTTTTAAGGCTGGAATTGGTCTAGAATCATTACCTTAAACTGTTTTGGACTTATAAAACTTGTTTTTGATGTGGTAATGATTATGGAAAACCAATTTCAAGGTTGTTATCAAAATTTCAAGTTTTATGTGTTTTTATGTAATTCTTGAAATTGTTGATATGGATTGTTCATGCTTATGAGTTTTGGTAGATCATAGAAATTATGTGCAAATTGTTTGTTAGTGTAATTCTTGATCTTAATGACATTGTATGGACTCCATAACTTGTCCTCAAGTTTAGGATAGTATGGAAAATTTTCACCTCACCATACAAGATACAAGCTTCACTCCTAACATCAATTACGTGACCCGTCGATTTAAGGAGCATCACATCATCCTTTCCATTCTCCTGTTTTGTTTTGTGTTATGACCTTGTCCTCCTACAACACTCACATATGATTCAAATTAACATTATTATTTTTAACTAGGTTAGTATGATCAACACCATTTTACACCCTTACAGTTCGTTCAATTTTAGGATAAGATGCAAATAACCTGAATGTTTCAATCCATATATATCGCAAAAGGAGTTTCACAAGTTTGTCCATATCATTGATTCCCATGAAACAAATAAACCTAAATCTTTTTCCCACATTTGATAACCGTGGTGCAACAAACACATCAACCACTACCCCGTGCTTTTTTCCAATCTCCATTAATTCTGTCACACCAACATGCAATGAAAATTTTATAACGTAAATTAATTGCGATACCTTTTGGAGATTGGAATGATTTGAACTCCTGTTCATGATACATTCTTTTAACCAAAATCGTTTAAAAACTCATTTCCTTGGTTAACCCTATTTCTTCCGTTGATCAGTCGCAACCCATTCCCATTCCTCTAACATGCACACTTGCTTCACAACCTCATTATCAAACCCTAGAGATTGATTTGATCATCCCATCTATAAACACACACCCCGCCTGATCACCGACCAACGGTTTCAATGACTATTATCACTAGGTCAGAGAACTAAATTCTTTTATGTACGTAGGTGTGTGCAATGGCTGATAATGTGCCTGATAAAGATGTTAAAAACAATTAATACTAATATTCGGTAAATTTCACACTTCAATGCACAAATAATTAAAAAAAATCTCTTAAAATTTATAGTAATTAATCAAGAATCTTCTCGACTTGGAATATGTAAAATTAATATAAAAAATTCAAATTAATATAATCTAAGATAAAATTCTGTCTTAAATAATATATATAAAAAGGTTTTATTTATAGAAAAATAAAAAGATAAAAGATCACATTGTTTGTTCATAATTTAATCTAACAACTAATTTGATATCGTGTTGAAATTTAACTCACATTTATCCATGATATCCGATTGAAATCATATCAAAAAGTAAGTATATTATCATAAATATCATTTATCACATATTTTGAAGTAAAACCTATATTCGTACAATCTTTTTTATTCAATACAAATTTAATGAATTCAACAAACAAATATACATACCATTAAGATATACACACAAGATGACGAGATCGATATCATAGTTTCTTTTTAACTTGAAAAAAATATATTTAAATATTGAATTACAAATAAAAAGATACTTTTATTAGTACTTTGATTGGTAGAATGTGAGCAAAGTAAAGCACGACGTTATCTGATTAATAATGATATGATACGACGACCGACCGACCCGTTCGCGTTCCGTAATTAAAACCAAATCCAAGCCCCATCCTCCATTGATAATTCATATTCCTTTTTTATTCTTTCATCCTCCATTTCATCCTGTTCGACACACACACACACACACGCATGCAATCGAAATTCAAACACACACAGTGGAACAATTGTGGATGTTAATCTCAAAATCTCTACACTGGTAAATCCCTCCGGTTATCGTTGGCCGTGAATAGGCCGAGCCGAGTCTACCATGACTCGGCGATGCTCTCATTGTAGCAACAACGGCCACAACTCACGCACATGTCCGTCGCGAGGCGGTGGTGTTAAGTTGTTCGGCGTTAGACTCACTGATGGCTCAATCATGAAAAAGAGTGCTAGCATGGGGAATCTCTCCGCTCTTTATCACTCGTCGTCTCCGGCCGCCGTCTCGCCCAATCCTAGCTCCCCCGCTACCTCTGACCCCGTCGAGGGTTACCTCTCCGACGATCCTTCCGCTAAACGCCGCGCCGATCGCAAAAAAGGTCAGTTTTTAGGTTTTACTCCTGTTTTTCGATTTTTGATTTTTCGCTTAATTAATTTCCAATTTCCAATTTCGCCCTTCATTGTTATCGAAGCGTGATTGGAGGATATTGGATGATGATAATTCCTTTAACTACAGTATACTATTTAATTGTTACAAATGATGATAATTAGGATTTTAGGATCCTGATCGTTGATTTATCATGTCTTTATATGTCTTATCTATATTCTATATTATCTTAGGCTTGTAGATATAGATTAGATAAATGTAGTGTGGGGCTTTTGAGTGGATGCCTTTGCTTTTATCACATTTGGTTTTGTTTTGACCATGTTTGTGTCCTCATTTGCTTCCCTTTTTGTTTTTGTTTGTAAAAAACTATAGCTCCTCATACAGAAATAACTATCTGTAACCCTACAGTGATAAAACTAAGCATATTTGCCTGAATTTATAGCATATCCTAATGACATATGCTGTATATGACCTTAATGCTTTAACCCCAAAATAATGACTTAATACATACATACACAAATCTTTAAATAAGAAACAGTTGAAGATATGAAGGGATAAGACTAACATGTAAATGGATTTGGCTAAGTAACTTGCATTTGTTTCCTTATATGGAATTTGGGATCATGTTCTTTGAAATTTTGTGCACTTGTTTTATCCAACCTCAGTTTAAAACAATGTGAAGATATTTCTTCAAACCCCTAACTTAGAGTTGACATTTTGACTTTTCTCAGTAATGGTGGATTTTGTATTAGGGTTAATGTCATATAATGGCAACCAGTTATTAACCAAGTGTTGTACAAGTCACTCAACATCTAATGTCAATCCTGAGTGGCGTCCTGTTGGCAAATGTTCAGATTATGTTCATGTTGTGCTGACATGGCGTCCACGTGGACTTTTGAAGATGAAAAATGGAAGAAGGCAGTGAAATTCATAATATAGATAAAATTAATTTGAAGTTTCAATGAAATTAAAGTATAGACATGTGTATGCCATGTCAGTGCCATGTGGACATAAAGTGAGTGCCATGTAGGATTAAAAAATGGGAGACTTAACAACACATAGTTTGCATGTATAATTGCAGGTACTCCATGGACAGAATTCACGATTAAATCAACTACTACAAAATTCACGATTCCTTTTCTTTCTTGATTCTTTTAAATATATCATTTTATGAAAGTAGTTTGCATGTATAATTGCAGGTACTCCATGGACAGAAGAAGAACATCGGTTGTTTCTACTTGGTCTGCAAAAATTAGGCAAAGGAGATTGGCGTGGCATAGCTCGTAATTATGTGTTATCCAGAACTCCTACACAAGTTGCTAGTCATGCTCAAAAGTATTTCATACGACAATGCAGTGCTACACGAAGAAAAAGACGTTCTAGCCTCTTCGACATGGCTCCAGATACTGTTCGTCTTCCTTCTTCCTTCTCAATTTCAAATTTATGATTTCAAATCCAAATTCAATCAGCATAACAATCACGACTGTTTCATTTGATTTCACAGGCGGCGGCAGAACCACCGGAAGATCATTTCATGCTCCCTCCGGCAGCAGCTACAGCTACAGATCACGCGGACAACTCCAAGTGCTCGTTGAAACTCTCGTTGAAACCTGATTCCGATCAGTCCATGGAAATGAAACACGAGATGAAAGAAGAAGCATCGTCGGCGACGGCGACTGCGACTGTGTCTGTGAGTGAGCTTCCGCCGATAATACCTGCGTTTTATCCGGCCTATATTCCGGTTCCGTTTCCGGTATGGCCGTCGACCATGACTCTGGTTGAAGAAGGAAATAGTAAAGGCGGAGGAGCGAATGAATCTCATCATCGTGTGGTGAAACCGATTCCGATTTTGCAAAAGGAACCCTTGAATTTAGATGAACTCGTCGGAATGTCGTCGCAGCTAACCCTAAAAGAGACCGCCGACCACCACCACCACATGGAGCCGTCGCCGCTGACGTTGAAGTTGTTGGCGGAACCCTCGAGGCAGTCGGCGTTTCATGCTAGCTCCGGTGTAAACAAGCGCGACGGGAATGCTTTCCGGGCGGTTTAATTAATGGGCTTTGAAATCCGAAACTTTTTTTTTATACTGTTCCGGTTCATGATATTTCTCTATTTGTTTTTTTTTTTTTTTTACTTTGTTATTACCCTTTTTCAACGTTGATGGCATGTTAGATTAGTGTGTTTTGTTTTTGAAATATATTTAATTCTTTTATATAGGAAAAATAATATGTAGGTGGTGTTTGTTAATAATTACATTTATGTTTTCGTAATGTAAAAAGTGTTGTGATTGGTATTCGGTAACAAAATGAAACTCTATTTGGTAAAATAGAAAGAGAAAATGACTCAAGAGATAATAGAGATAATATTTTGTTCACATTTGATATATATATATATATATATATATATATATATATATATATATATATATATATATATATATATATATATGACAACTCATAGTTTCCCGAGAACTAAAGGTGGAGCGTTAGATCAAAAAAATGAAAGGTTTGGATTAGTAATGACATGATTGTAATTATTATTAATTCCGATAGCATTTTAGGACTTTTTATGAAAATATGAAGGGTAATATTGGAATAAAAAGTTATTCCCAGAAAAATTATAATAATTACCTTTCCAGTTCCCACACAGATCGTATCCCCTTCTCTCTCACTTTTTCTAAGGTGTAACCTAGATTCCGCCATTGGTGATCGATCTCGTTCCTGCAATGGTCCAGTCTGATGGTGAAGATGGAGACGCTAGAACATAATCGGTACAATTCATTTGTGTTAACCTGATGCAAGTCGAAATCAAAGAGAATAATGATCTCTTACACACATATGATTCATCAGATCCCACACAGATCGTATCCTCCTATTTCTCTCACTACATGTAACCTAGATTTCGCCATTGGCGATCGATTTCGTTGCTGCAATGGTCAAGTCTGATGGTGAAGATGGAGACACTAGAACAGAATCGGTACAATTCATTTGTGTCGACCTGATGCAGGTCGAAATCGAAGAAAACAATGATCTCTCACACACATATGATACATCAGATCCTTATCTGGACTCCTTCCACTTCGATCGATCACTCCACACTCCTTTATAAGACACCTCTCTCTCTTCTTCCTCTGTCCATCGCACATTCATCACATGAGATCTCTTTCTTACATCGATCTAGTTTGGTGACCACATTCATCTCCTTCCTCCATATCGACTGTCTGTAAGAGATTCTGAAGTTGCCTCTCCTCAGTATGAAAGAACCGCCGGTCTAAAACTTGATACGCTCCGATCACAATAGCCACACTCCTCCCTTTTTCTCTCTGTCTTCAACAACCACACCTCGTTGAAACAACAAGGTAACTTTCATAAGTTTAAAAAGTTGTATCTATTTTGTGATTATTTGACTGTAATCATACGTTTGATGCTTAAATGCTTATAGAATCCAAAGAAAAACCACATATATTTGTTGATAATAGTATATTTGCACCTAATCTCAGGTTATTAATATTAATATCACGAATCATCCTACTCACACCATATTGTTATTATCTTCAAATTTCAAACAATCATCATGTGATTGTTTGTTTTTTTATTCAATTTCAGAGAAAGTTTTCTTTCATCTCTACAGTTTGCTCAAGAAGATGGGTGGCTTTCTTCATTCTATTCATGTTTGATAAAAAAAAGTACCTAAATACATCCACAACACCCATGTGACATGCATCAAAACATCTTATACTTTCCAACATATAATATTTTTCATTTTTGTTTATTTTCAGTACGATAAATCAAGTGTTGTGGAAGATAAATTCAATGAACTGGAGAAAGAAGACATTAGCATAAAACCATCAAATCAATCCTTGACTTGTACACTGCAAAACAACAAATATCTTTTAGCATGTAAAGCTTAATACTACCATCAATGTGACAGATATCTTTTAGCATGTAAAGCTGAATACTACCATCAATATGGCAAATATCATAAATTCTTTGAATTGATTTCAATGTTGTTTATGTGCTGATTATGTGATGTGTTTGTAACAGAGCGGAAATGGCAGAATTAAAGTTCGAGATCTTACATCTGCTTTGGTTGTCGGTTAGTCGGGCCAGATATCTTTTTATTTTATTTTATTATTTTTTTTGGTCTTTTTGTTTGTAAACTAAGTTACATGTCATTTTTGTTCTTGATTGTTGGAAAATATTTGGTTAATTTATGGATTTCTGACATAATAGAATTTGAGATTTTTATGATTTCTCATAGTTGAACATTCTGCAAATTTTTATGATTTATTTGTATTCAAGTTTTCATATGTTTACAAATGAATTTTGAATTAAATGACCATCCAAGTTATAAAAACATCACAATTTAACCATACTTCTTATACTTCTTATAGATATAAACACAACAATTAGGTAGAGAACATCTTAATTAAAAAGAATGCTCAAAGAGAAAATGACTCAAGAGATAATATAGATAATATTTTGTTCACATTTGATATATATATATATATATATATATATATATATATATATATATATATATATATATATATATGAAAGATCATTTGAGAACTCATAGTTTCCCGAGAACCCGAGAACTAAAGGTGAAGCGTTAGATCAAAAAAATGAAAGGCTTGGATTAGTAATGACATGATTGTAATTATTATTAATTCCAATAGCATTTTAGGACTTTTTATGAAAATTTGAAGGGTAATATTGGAATAAAAAGTTATTCCCAGAAAAATTATATTAATTACCTTCCCAGTTCCCACACAGATCGTATCCCCCTCTCTCTCACTTTTTCTAAGGTGTAACCTAGATTCCGCCATTGGTGATCGATTTCGTTCCTGCAATGGTCCAGTCTGATGGTGAAGATGGAGACGCTAGCACATAATCGGTACAATTCATTTGTGTTAACCTGATGCAAGTCAAAATCAAAGAGAATAATGATCTCTTACACACATATGATTCATCAGATCCCACACAGATCGTATCCTCCTCTTTCTATCACTACGTGTAACCTAGATTCCGCCATTGACGATCGATTTCGTTGCTGCAATGGTCAAGTCTGATGGTGAAGATGGAGACACTAGAACAGAATCGGTACAATTCATTTGTGTTGACCTGATGCAGGTCGAAATCGAAGAAAACAATGATCTCTCACACACATATGATACATCGGATCCTTATCTGGACTCCTTCCACTTCGATTGATCACTCCACACTCCTTTATAAGACACCTCTCTCTCTTCTTCCTCTGTCGATCGAACATTCATCACATGAGATCTCTTTCTTACATCGATCTAGTTTGGTGACCACATTCATCTCCTTCCTCCATATCGACTGTCTGTAAGAGATTCTGAAGTTGCCTCTCCTCAGTATGAAAGAACCGCCGGTCTAAAACTTGATACGCTCCGATCACAATAGCCACACTCCTCCCTTTTTCTCGTCGTCTTCAACAACCACACCTCGTTGAAACAACAAGGTAACTTTCATAAGTTTAAAAAGTTGTATCTATTTTGTGATTATTTGACTGTAATCATATGTTTGATGCTTAAATGCTTATAGAATCCAAAGAAAAACCACATATATTTGTTGATAATAGTATATTTGCACTTAATCTCAGGCTATTAATATTAATATCACGAATCATCCTACTCACACCATATTGTTATTATCTTCAAATTTCAAACAATCATCATGTGATTGTTTGTTTTTTTATTCAATTTCAGAGAAAGTTTTCTTTCATCACTACAGTTTGCTCAAGAAGATGGGTGGCTTTCTTCATTCTATTCATGTTTGATAAAAAAAGTACCTAAATACATCCACAACACCCATGTGACATGCATCAAAACATCTTATACTTTCCAACATATAATATTTTTCATTTTTGTTTATTTTCAGTACGATAAATCAAGTGTTGTGGAAGATAAATTCAATGAACTGGAGAAAGAAGACATTAGCATAAAACCATCAAATCAATCCTTGACTTGTACACTGCAAAACAACAAAGATCTTTTAGCATGTAAAGCTTAATACTACCATCAATGTGACAGAGATCTTTTAGCATGTAAAGCTGAATACTACCATCAATGTGGCAAATATCAGAAATTCTTTGAATTGACTTCAGTGTTGTTTATGTGCTGATTATGTGATGTGTTTGTAACAGAGAGGAAATGGCAGAATTAAAGTTCGAGATCTTACATCTGCTTTGGTTGTCGGTTAGTCGGGCCAGATATCTTTTTATTTTATTTTATTATTATTCTTTTTTTTTGGTCTTTTTGTTTGTAAACTAAGTTACATGTCATTTTTGTTCTTGATTGTTGGAAAATATTTGGTTAATTTATGGATTTTTGACATAATAGAATTTGAGATTTTTATGAATTCTCATAGTTGAACATTTTGCAAATTTTTATGATTTATTTGTATTTAAGTTTTCATATGTTTACAAATGATTTTTGAATTAAATGACCATCCAAGTTATAAAAACATCACAATTTAACCATACTTCTTATACTTCTTATAGACATAAACACAACAATTAGGTAGAGAACATCTTAATTAAAAAGAATGCTCTCAGATATGCCTGATGTCACAGAATTGCATCTTGTACCTGAGGCTCACGTTCCTATGATGAAATTCAAGTTGAATGGTGTATTTATATATCTTCTCTATGCTAAACTTTCACTTTGGGTCATACCTGAAGTAACTAAACTTTCCTATCTTTCTTTCATCTCCATCTGTTACTGAAAACTTGTTGGTTACTTTACTAATGAACTCCATTTTACAGGATTTGGATATTTCTCAGGATTCAATACTGCAGAATGCAGACGAACAGATGGTTCGGAGTCTTAATGAATGCAGAGTTACCAACCAGATCATGTGCTATATCCAAAATGTGATATTTTTTAGGTTAGTTAACTTATTTAAAAAAAATTTGGAAGCAAACATTTTGTTTAAAAATGTACGGATAATGTTTTCATAACTTCTCTAAATCTCATTTATGCTTGAATTCAATTGATTTAATCTTATATTCTTATTTTTGTCTGATATTGAAGCCTGCTACAAGTGATTTTATTGTAAGGGATATTGGAAATTG